ATGGGGTTTCGAAGAACAGTAGCTGTACTGTTCATATAGAAGGTTGTTATGGGTTTGTGGACCCTAGATTGATGAAGTGAGACTTCTGTAATAATTAAACTAAGTCAGAATCAAGTGATTAAGGGCTTGTGGCTTTGTGAGAAGCCTCAAGACATGAAACGTAAAAGAGAGGCATTGTCTTTATGTATATGCTTATGAGCTATGGTTGTTGATATGATTGCTGGTCCGAAACAGATTGTGATTCTGTTGTGTTTAGGCTTTGAGCTTGTGTGGACTCTTGGCTTGGATAGCTAGCTTGCAAGGTAAGCTTTTGTGTCCTCGATTTAGCCATTGTGTGGTTCCACCATACCCCATGAGGGAATGATTTATATGCATGATGTGTTTACATGCTTTAATAAATGAAAATACTGTTGAGCTTTATGTGCAATTGCTTATAATATGTATGTGTTGTTCCACTTAGACGATAAGCCTGAGTATGTGGTGTCATACAAGACGGTGACACGGTGGGTGGGTGCAAGTGGCGTCTTGCACTAGTGTGGGTAATAGACGTATTCCTGCATTTCTCTGGCCAGTAGATTAGATATGACACACATGACATGATTATCTGCTGCATTGCACTATTTTGGAACTTATATTGTTAAATTGTTTTTGAACTTATATTGCACATGTAAGTGAGCTTGGGGTGGAAGATCCTTGAGGATCCCTTGCCTTACTGAGATTTCTGTTTAGAGATCTCACCCCACGTTTGGGGCACTTATTTCAGGTTCAGGTAACCCAGGGGCTGAGACCTCTAGCGGCAGGAGGCCAGAGCTTAGCTGATATTGCTGTTTATATGATGATATGTCTGAATGCTGGATTATGCCTGCTGCTTTATGTTATTAGCTTGTTATGATTATTGTTGCTACTGTTGAGACTATGTTGGGCTTTGTTACCTTATTTGGTGAGCATGAGGATTGTCCATGCCACATTGTTTGACTTTGTCTTAGTTGATTCGAGTTGTATAATTGTATCAGAATTATGTCTGGACTACGTGTTGTAGATCTGTGACTTAGATACTCACTTATTTATGTATGAGGTATTTCAGTTAGCTATCTTTTGCAATTTACATACAGGCGATGTTTTTATGAAAATGATTAAGTAATCAACTTGGCTAAGTATAATGACATCATAATTGAAAAGAAAAGATATTCTGCATTTTTAATTAAGTGTGGCTTAATACGATGACATGTTAACAGACCGGGTATACACGGGGTGTTACAACTCCCAAGGGTTTTTCCTTGTGTTTCAGATTTGACTATGCTCAAGGTGGTCTTTGGTCTGGTCATGGTGAAAGAGTTGGTTTGGAAATTTGGAAATGTGAGATAAAGAAGAAAGACGAAAGATGTGGTTGCTTGAGTATTTTAGGAAGAATAGGGGAAATGATTTCAAAAATGGTCATAATAATGGTGCTCAAGGGGTGGGATTGATGAGGTGTTATGGATGCCGTTTGAGAAATTTATGGTGTGTCAGAAAAAGAGAGAGTGTGCTGCCCCTATCCTATCCCTGCTGCAATTACTTTTGGAAATTCGAACTGAAGAAGTTACTATTTTGGGTAACTTTTCTCTGAGCATGTATGAGTGGGCAACAAGGTGGTAACAATTTCTGCGACTGTTCTTCTGAAAAAAAAAATTTCAAATCAAGAAATAAATTCAAAATTTAAATTAAACCCAGTTTGTTCAGCCCAATTGAAACACTTGGGTCCTGAAAACCTTTTCAGCTCAAATTGTTCATTGTATTGCTTTGAATCCATCACTTAAAAGTAATTTTAAGTGTGAATTTACTCCCAAGGATGTATTTGGATGCCAATTGCTCAAGAGCAACCCCAAAACCAGCCTTCTACAGCATCCTATAGCCAAAAACAATTTATTAGAGCTTGAAATTGAAAAAGGAAAATTGAAATTAAAAGAAGGGAATAAAAAATCTGTGTTGTCTCCTAGTAGCGCTTTGTTTGTAGTCTTAACTCGACTTTTGTTCCTGGATCAGATGCTGGTAGGGTCTTCAAGAGGGAGCAACAACTCCTCTTGTTTTGAGATTCCTCTTCTGTATTTCTTTAGACGATGTCTATTCACCCTAAAAGTATTCCCAGTTTTCTCATTTGGGCTGACAAATTCTACATGTGGTAGCTCCTTGGTTATACGATAAGGTCTATCCCATCTCGACTTCAACTTTCCAAAAAACAACTTCAATCTTAATCTGTAAAGCAATACTCTTTCTCTTACACTTAGCTCCTTGTTTATCAAGTTCTTGTCTTGCCATTTTTTCATTTGTTTCTTTATGACATGCATTCTCATAAGCATCGTTCCTGAATTCTTCTAATTCATTGAGCTAGAGCAGTCTTTTCTCACCAGCAAGATCAACATCCAAGTTCAAAAATGTGATTTCCCAAAATGCTTTATGTTGTAATTCTATGGGCAAATGACAAGATTTCCCAATTACCAGCTTGTAAGGAGAGTAACCTATGAGAGAACGATATGCAGTCCCATAGGCCCATAAAGAATCATCCAGCTTGCTTGCCCAGTTCCTTCAAGTTAAGCTCACAACTTTTTCCAGGAATCTTTTAATCTCTCTGTTTGACACCTCTACTTGCCTACTAGTTTATAGATGGTAAGGGGTGGCAATTTTGTGCTGCACACCATATTTCTTCAGGAGCAATTCGAACTGTTTATTCACAAAGTGTTTGCCTCCATCACTAATTATTGCTCTTGAGGTTTTGGGTTGAGGCATGGTGTCGAATTCACTTGCTAGCGTTAGACTAGCCATAGCCTATTGGTGGTAACCCGAGTACAACTCGACTCTGATTCACTGTCAGGCTGTCCCAGGGGGAGCCCATAGCTGGGGACTACCACTAATGGGCTAAGACTAGTCCAATGCTACCAAGTGAATTCGACATCATATCTCAATCCAAAACCTTAAGGTATTGGGTTCATCTTAAATGCGAAACCCACCATTGGTATGCTCCCCCTCAACCGAGTACCGAGGTCCAAAGTACTCAAGTGTTATAAATATTCAAGTGTGACGAGTCTCATATTAGTTGGTAATGGACTAAGTAAAGTGTATACAAGTGGATGGACTCATGAATCTAATGTTTTAAGGTTTTCGGTTGTGATATGGTGTCACATGCCATGGGCTCCCCTTAGACCCGCTCTACAGTGGTGTATCAGAGTTGGGCTGGGTTAAGCTAGCCTGGTGATTGGTTAGAGACATATAGAGTACTTTGGGCCTGGGTACTCAGTTGAGGGGAAGCATACCAATATTGGATTTCACACTTGAGGAGGAGATTGTTGGGTTATTCAAGTGTGATGAGTTATAAATTGGTTAGTAATGGGCTAAGTGAAGTCCATATAAGTGGAAGGACCCATGAACTCAATGCCTTAAGGTTTTGGGTAGTGACATGTTGTTAGATCCACTTTATATGATGGGCTAACTTAGCCCATTGGAGGTAATTCCCTTGCCACAGTCTCCCCCGGACCCGCTTGATAGTTGTATCAAAGCCTGGTTGGGCTCGAACTAGTTAGGTGTTTGCTAGGAGGTGGGTTGAGTACTTTGGACCTAAGTACTCGGAGATAGGAGGAGCATATCAATGTTGGGTTTCACACTTGAGGGGGAGATTGTTGGTATATTCAAGTGTGATGAGTCCCACATTAGTTGGTAATGGGCTAAATGAAGTGGATATAAATGGATGGACTCATGAACCCAATACCTTAAGGTTTTAGACTGTGATATGGTGTCAAACTCACTTGATATGGTTGATGTAGCTTTAGCCCATTCATGGTGGTCCCATGCCACAGGCTCCTTCTAGACCCGCCTGACAAGTAGGAAAGAAACCCATACAACTGTAACGCCTAGCAACTTGCAAGGATCAATGATTGTCCCCACACACTAACACGAGACTTTTCAGCGTGTTTTGTCCTCACTCGCACACTTCTCGGGAAAACTTTATAGGAGGTCACCTATCCCAGAATTGCTCCAAGTCAAGCATGCTTAACTATTGAGTTCTTCTGTTTCGGGCTACCGAAAAGTAGATGCATCTTGTTAGTATAGGTAGTACCAATTAATTCTTATAAGCTATCCCAAACTGTGCGGTCTCATACTTGCACAGTCTTTGGAATCCCTCTTTTTCGGATGTCGATTCGATTCCTTCGTTCATGTAACCCCCCGCTGGAAGCCTGTCAGGAGCCGCTCCTTGTCCGTGCCTCTTTGCACCGGCGATCACGCCCCGCCTTCGACAGTGCTCAGGATGTTACAACAACCATTAGCATCAAAATCCTTTTCCGCTTAAGGTTGAAGCAAAAAAATTGCTAAAGGGTTTAAGAAACAAACAAATAAAAAACTTAGTTTTCCATAAAAAAAGAAATTGCTCCATATCATCAACTCAAAGATATGCCATTCTCTTTTCTGCATTATACATCTTCATGACATTATTGTCGATATTTACTCTTAAGTTCTATAAATCTATTAGTCATATTTCAATTGCAAAGTAATTGAGGCCTGCAAAATTCAAATAATGTCTAGGAAGCAAGATAGCAAGTGCCATCAATGCATCAGTATAATAAAGATACCAAGTGAATGGTCCAGCCATCACAGTGAAGTTTCAATTTGAATATTTACAGAAGATAGAGGTTCTTATCCTTAAAATGATTGTTTACTAAGGCCAGCATGAACTTAGATGAAAACACAGTTTCTCAACTGGGATATCAAATAGCTGTCAAATACAACTATAGTCATTATAATCAAGTATGCAAGTAGCACCACCAAGGCCCCAAGTTGGAAGTGACTGAATACCTCAGAGCCATTTGATTGAAAGGAAACTTTACAGATTGTTTGAACAACAAGGTTCTTTATTATTTTTCCCTAGAAGATACTTAGACATAGGGGTCATTATAGATATTCAAATTCTTCATACAAAGGACAAGCCAAAGGGCCAATGCACATATGTCATTAACTATTCTAAATAAGAGAGCTCAATCTTCTTCTGTCTTTTTGGAAACTCCATTTTCCTCTGCCTTCTTTCTTGCTTTCTCCTCTGCTTTCTTTGTAACTTCCTTGGACGTCTCAAGAGCTTGAATCAAGTTCTGCAAACAAGTGTCCACTTCTTCATTCAGTGACTTTGGCATCAGGTTCTCAGCAACAGCAGCAGGGGTCATCTTTGTCTCTTCCAACAAGTTCTTAATTCTAGGAAACAAATGGTGGGACTCAATATCCAAGTAATTCTTTGCAAGCACCTTAAATGCTTCATAGCAACAATAGGTCAATTCTATGTGCATATCCATCCTTCCTCTCCTAATCAAAGCAGGGTCAAGTTTTTTCACAAAATTAGTTGTGAAAACCATGATCCTCTCTCCCCCACATGCTGACCAAATCCCATCTATAACATTCAATAACCCAGAAAGAGTTACTTTGCTCCCTTTATCATCACAATCTTCTTTACCTTCCAATCTTTCTTTTTTCTTCTTCCTTTGGCCAGTAAGATCAAGTGAGCAATCAATGTCTTCAATAACTATAATTGACTTACCCGGCGTGTTGATCAGTAGTTGTCTCAGATCAGAGTTGTCCTTCACCGCAGTCAATTCAAGATCATACACATCATAGTTCATGAAATTAGCCATGGCAGCTATCATGGTAGATTTCCCAGTACCTGGAGGACCATATAATAAATACCCTCTCTTCCAAGCCTTCCCAATCTTAGCATAGTAAGTTTTTCCCAGTTTGAACTTAACAAGGTCATTGATAATATCCTCCTTCTTCTTTGGGTTGAGTGCTAGTGTTTCAAATGTAGCAGGATGCTCAAAAATCACATGACTCCACTTTGTCTTATTGTTTGTGTACATTTTCAGCTGCCTGTTCTTCATCTCAATAACCCTGGCTTCTTCCAAGACATGTTTGAGGTAACACTCAGTGATTAATTCTCTATAACGCTTGTGAAAGGTGAGCTTGTAGTACTTTTTCTCATCTGAAGCAGGGTAAATAGAGAATTTTGGTGTTTTGGGGGTGGACTTGTGTGAAGCCCACCAAAGTTTAACACCTTGAAACTCTTGTATGATCTCTTCATTATCATCCATGCTAAGAACCAATGGGGTGTTGCTGTCTTTGACAACTTCAGCTTTGAGTCTTGAGGCTCCTTGGGAAGAGTGTTCACTAAGGTAGGTTTGGATGGCAGTGTAAGCTTCACTTCTCATGAGTTGTTCACCTGTGAATTCATGGACTGTGATTATGATATAAGGATACACGAATCTGGTGAATTTGTGAATGTACTTTCGAACATGAGCACGAACAGGAGGGGGAAATAACCGCATAAATATGGTATACAAGAACATGCAGGTGGCCATGAATGAACCTAACTGTGTCCACATCTGCTTCATATTACTTGCTCTCACTTTAGATTAGATTCAGTTAGTGCTATTGTTAAGCGTTTCTGCTGTTTTGAGTTTTTTTTTAGCTACGTAGTGTGCATTTTCTTGATATCTATACTGAATATGGAGGAGTAATTGGAAGGAGCAATAGGGACCTTTTTTTAATTATTTTGGGGCACTGGTGGGACTGTTTTAAGTTCCTGCTCTTTCCTGTAAGCTTCCTAAAATATAAAATATAATGATAAAGTATAATGTTGCCATGTGATAACATACAATGATGTCATTTTTATTTTTTTTTATTTTTTTGGTATCCTCAATGATGTCATTTAATTTAGGTAGTGGTTTCCATTTTAAAGAGAAAGATGTTTGGTGTTGTTTCCATTGTCTTCAGGTTGAATTCTACTATGGGCTCTGTTATAAATCAAATAGATTCCAAAATCTATGGGTCAGCAGTAGATGTCATTTTAAAGTGCATCCTTTTAATAGCTTTACATTATGTTTTACCGCAAGACATAGTTATAATATGAATTTCTTTTTTTTACTTTTCACGTTAGTTGATCTGACTGAGGAGAAAAAAAAAAATTTGTATTATAACTATGTCTTATTAGTAAGATGTAGTGTAAACCTATTAAAAAGACACAAGTTATATCATTTAAAAGTATACATTTTTTCCCAAAATTAAAACTAATTTGATATTAAGTTATTAGTATGTTTTTTTTTACTTTTCTTTGTTTTCATGTTCTTTAATACTCGTTGTGAGGCCTCATAGCTCCGAAAAAAGTTTCTAATTTAGTTTTTTATAATAGATTGTTATTCCCTACTTATTGTGATATTTTCAAGAGTAAACACCCATTTTAGTCCCTGACAATATCTACGAAGTCCTTTTCAGTCCCTGTCAATAAAAAAGGACCAAATTAGTCCCTGAAAGTACAAGAAAAGGGCCACTCTACATATTTGAGAGTTGACATAAGGACTAACATGGCCCTTTTTTAGTACTTTCAGGGACCAATTTGGTCCTTTTTTATTGTCAGGGACTAAAAAGGACTTCGTAGATTTTGACAGGGACTAAAAATGATGTTTACTCTATTTTCAAAGTTGTTTATTGATCATCTTCCAACTCGGGGAAGAAGTAAATTACGTACTATAGATAATTCAACAAAGTGTGTTGAGATATATAGTATCACATTGGTTATATGAGCAACTAAATGTGGAGTTTATAAGGCCTTGGGCACTCCCACCTTTGAGCTAGCTTTTGGAGTGGTGTATCCTAAGGTTCTTTACATGGTATCAGAGCTTGAGTGACTATAAGGTCACAAGTTCAATCCTCACCGTCCCCCACTTTAAAGTGGAACACCAAAAATTGGGCCTGTGCAATATCCACGCTTCTAGCCCAATGAGCTCTCGTGTGAGGGGGCGTGTTGAGATATATAGTCCCACATTGGTTGTATGTGTAACTAATGTGGAGTTTATAAGGCCTTGGACACTCTCATCCTTTGAGCTAGCTTTTGAGGTGGTGTATCCCAAGATTTTTTACAAAGTGTGGCTCTGTATTGTGTATCCTATATATTGTACTCTAAGTTTTTGTGCATTCTATATGCTTTTAAATTGCATTATGCATTGTATCTGTTATAAAAGATCCAACAATATATCGGTTCAAATGTTTTAAATTTGATCTTTAAGTTGGATATATCTTTCTCAATTTCTTCCTTCTACATTTTCTTTTATTTTTTACTTTTTCCACGACAGAGTGACATACTTCTTCAATGTCCTTCCAACAAAACAACTCTACAGCAATCTTGGCAAAATGGTGCTAAGAATTCAAGTGTGAATAATAAAATTTCACATTAGTTAAAAATTGACTAAATAAAGAATAAGTAGATGGACGGATAAACCTAATATCTTAAGGCTTTTTTTTGTAACAATGGACTTGAAGTATGGATATTGTACAAGTTTTTTTTTTCCTACTTTGTGTTGATGACTTAATTCTACTAGAAAGTGGTGGGGTGATGGGGATCGAATTCGTGATCTCGTAATCACGGAAGCTCTGATACCATGTAAACAATCATTCCACCTAAAAAGCTCAAGTTTGTAAGTGATGAGCTTTTAAAAGTTATATATTATATCTCTTTAACACACTATCTTTTGGTTCTATCTTGTGCTAACTTAATTTCAGTAGAAAATTGGATTTGATACCATGAATACCTTGGCTTTGATACCATGTAAAATAATCATTCAACCTAACAGCTCAAGGATAAGTGAAGGTTCATCAATGATTTTTATATGATATGTCTCTAATGTATCCCCTCACGCAAGTGTCATTTGGTTTTGAAATTTAAATATTGAACTAACGGTGAGGATTTAACTTGTAATCGCGTGGTCACATATACTCTAATACCATGTAAACAATCATTCCACCTAATAGCTCAAGCTTGCAAGTGATGTATATTTAATTTTTATATTATCTCTCTAAAAAGGGGACGAACTAGAGCAGTGGTAAAACTGTTCTTTCATGACTGAAATGTCATGAGTTCGAATCCAAGAAACAGTAATGCCAATAGGAGGAAAATAGTAAAAAGCAAAAATGTTAAGGATACAAGCTATTTCACTTTATTAAAGTTCATGAGCATGTCAAGTGATATACAATTTGTTATTTAATTTAAAACGCCTTATTTATACTATAGCTATTGATTCCTTATAAACTAACAGATTTTAAGAGGGGTGTATTGGATTAGGATTTTAAAAGACTATTTTGAGATAAAAAAAATCTTATAAATTTTAAAAGACTATCTAGAATTATAATGACTTACTTTTTTTTACAATCAAGATTTTATAAGATTGGATTTTAAATAATTTTAATAGAATTTATAAGATTTGAAAGGATAATATTGATTTATGAAATTTTAAAAAATCATATGAATTTTTAACAAATATTCAAATTTATAAGAGTCAATAAAAAAATAACAAATAATTGAATGATATTAATATACAAGTAAAACCTAATATAATTTTCTTAATCAGTAATTTAATGTAACTTGATGCCCTTCTAAGCAGCAGCTCTCCACATATCTAAAGTTATACTAGCTCTCCACGCATTAGTATCGTCTCGTTCCTAGTTCTTGTTTATTCAAGGATAAGGTAAGTTTAAGGAACCATGAGCTATTTGGTGTTTTGACCATTAGGTCAATATGTGAATGATGCCAAGTATTTATGTTTCCAATTTCCTCTGTGAAATAGGTTATTTTTGGAGCACAAGTCAAGTAAGAAGAGGTATGGATAACTTTCTTAGCCTTCAAGCAAGTGTTGACTTGGGAGCATCAAGAGGTAAGCTCTTGGTTTAGGAGTCTTTTCCTACTTTGTTATTCCACCACATGTCTATTGAGACTATGGTTTCATGTTTGTATGATTGATGAATGTTAGGTACCTAGAATAACTACATTCATGTAGGACATGTACAAGTTATGATGTGATGTATGGAACTGTGGTTCATGGCCAATGAATGCATACATGTGTGTACATTCCAACGAGATATAGCTCTTGGAATTATATGATCCATAGGGACACAACCTATGGACTATCATGTATGACTTCATGAGGACTCAAGTTCTCGGAAGTATTTGTTTGGGCTCTCTTTGCAGGATACAACCCCTAGAAGTCTTTTGTATATTTTTCGTAAGGACTCAGGTTCTCGGAAGTATTTGCTTGGACTTTCCTTAAGGATTCGAGTTCTATAAGTCTTCTATATATTGTGGAATATATGATGTGATCTATACTCTATATCTGACCTTTCATGCAGGAAGTGAACTAATGGGCATAAAATCACTCTATAAGCCCTGGATTTATTGAGATTTTATATCTCACCCCGTTTGGGGACATGTTTCAGGTACTCCAGTAGTAGCAGGGGGCCCTCCCGAGGCAAGAGGCCTATACAGGGTGGTTAGAAGACTCCATTGGAGCAACTACTTAGTGTAGTATTTTTGGGATGACTGTATTTATGTTTTGTAGCATGAGATATATATGATCATGCATATCTATAGTTCATATCAATTTGTGAGGCATGTGTAGCCTTGATACATTTATGTGTTGATAACACGAGTATCTATATGCATATATGTCTATCAAATTAGACTATATCAGTAATAGCATGGAGCCACATTTTGAATATTTATATCTAGATTGGACTTTTCTATTTTTATGTGTTATCAGGATAAATGTGGGATTTCATCATTGGATTAGTCCAATTTACAGTTGTTATGTTGTCTATTTGCCTCTGTTAGAAATGGTACATGTTATCATATTCAGATAGTCATTTACCAGTGAATATGGTCACAAGAGTTCAAGTAAGGATTCTGTGCAGGTACGAGATTGTACAGTTCATAGAAATAAGACAAATATTGCATGCATGACAATACACAAGGATAAATAAAAAGAAAAAAGTTATCTTACGAAATTACATCGTGTAATAGTGAGACTTTCATTAAGTCTTCCGCTATCTTTATTCAAGTAAGATGCACTTTATGTACCATTTGCATGATTAACAAACCATGATTAAGGCGGGGCGTTACATTATGGTATCCGAGCAAAGTCTAGGGAATTCCTTTAAGTATTGCCATAAGCAAGATGCTTGATGAGTGGTTTATGATGTTTATTATGATGTTTCATATGTGAACACTTAGTGTGAGTTTAATCAACTCATTTCTCTTTGTAACATTTACAATATCATAATGAACACTAAGGATCCTCGGAGGGCAGGGGATGATCAGTCAGATCCCATAGCAGTAGCATTAACTGGCATACGACAAGAGATAACTGCAAATAAGAAGACTAATCAGGAAATGTGGAATGCTATTATGCAAGAATTAAGGTTAATGAGGCAGAGTAATCAGCAACTTCCTCCAACTCGACATACTCTCAATGTAGATGGTACGAGTGGAGAAGTCAGGCATTATGATGTGAGGCTAGTTGTCGTGTTAGTGCACTATAACCATATTCAGAGTCAATAGCAGAGACAGAGGCAAGAGAAAAGAAACTGAGCACTTTCAGGGAGCACCAATCTTTTTCATTTGATATGATGTATGATCATATTATAGCAGTCGCATGGTTACAATCTTTAGATGTGGTATTTAAAGTAATGCAGTGCTCAGAATAGTAGAAACTTCTTTATTCTGTATACACGTTATAGGAGGATGCCCATGACTGGTGAGTTAATACCTCCCAACTGCTTAGAGCCCTTAACCAGGTTATGACTTGGAAAATCTTTAAAGGGCTATTTCGTGAAAAATATTTTCCTTGGGATATTAGGGAAAGGAAGGAAAAAGAATTTGATAAGCTTGTCCAGGATGATATGGCAAAACAAGTAGGATGTTCTTTATATACCATTTTGCATTATTAACAAGCCATGATTAAGGCGAGGCGTTAAATCTTGGTTGATAATTTGTATGAATGATGCAAGCATTTCTTCAGAGAAATAAATCTTGTATCCTTCAAAGGTGTTTTTTCTTTAAGAATTGTGCATAACTTACGGAACACATCTGAATACATTCTATATAATTGTCGAAAGATAGCAATATCCTCATTCAATGCCTGATGTACATAGTCATATCTTATACTAGTAATTCATCGTTAAGTCAATAGACGTTCAATATGTTCACCATACATCATAATCAAAAATTGATTTAACACATATTAATGCATAGATTGCCATCATCAATTTGTACATGGCTTCATAAAATTCTTCATTTATTTCTTTGTCGACTCTTTTTTCTTCCTCTAAGTCATTAGTTTCATACATGCTCGATTGTGACATTATATGTTTATAAAAAATATACGAGACTGCAAACAATTAAAAATAAAATAAAATAAAATTTGTAAGAAAACTATAAAGTGTCCATGTTTACTTTAATATGTCATTCTTTTTATGTATATAAAACTAATTATAATATATATATATGTATATAATAAAATAAAATGGTGTTCATATAAGAAATTAAAATCAATATGAAAGGATAAAAATTGAACAAGAAAATTCCATATGTATAACTCAAATAATCAATAAAAATACAAACAATAAATTGTTCAACCAAATTATAACCAAAATATTTCAACCAAATTACGATTAAAAATAGCATAAAAAAATGTAGTTCCTGAAAGGACAATATGATCAAAATATTAATCATCATATCTTGAAATTTATCCAAGAAAAGCGTTATTTTAATGACATGCTCAAGAACAAATCCTTCTTTGCTTTTGTATTAAACAAATCAATTGCCAAGAACTGAGTCTTATCATCGAAATTTGAAATCTCTTTTATAGCATCCCAAATATTACTTTCTCTTTTTCTATCTCTCTCTTTTTTCTCCATTAGGTTAGATATTTTTCAAAATTGCTAGCAATAGTCTCAATTCTAATTGCAAGATTTTCTAGAACTTTAGCTTGATTGTTGGTCCCAACTGTGGTAGAATTTCCTTCATATTTGGATCTTCTTCGCTTATTGCGACTTGGTTTTTTAGTGCGAACCTTCGAATGTAAAAGGGAATGAGATGGTGGACTACATTAGTGGGGTGATGAATGATGGTCGAGTGTTTTATAGTGATTTGGAGCTATAAAGGCATCATTGTTAGGATCATACACAAAGATTCCATCATGAAATCTCTATTTTCTTCTCCAAAAGTTATAGCATCAACATCAATAGTGCCTAATGCAATGGAACCATTATCAGTACCAGTTGCACCTGCAAAAATAAAATGGAATACATAATTAAAGATAACAAGCACAACCATAAATTATCAATTAATCATGAAGAACAATAGCATAAGGAGGAATGTCAAATCAGAGAAAATACATGAGAGTAAAAAAAAGAACATACCCTCATTGAGAAATGACTAGGTAGATTATGAGACACTGCACTAGAGAAATCTCAGGGATTAGAGTGAGATTATGATAGAGGTATGCTATTTATACTTTTCACCAAAAAGTCTCATAAAATCTACACTAATAGAAAATCCATTAAAATTGTCACAATTTTAATGCCACAAGATTATTTTTTCTTTATTTAAAATTCTGATTGAATACCACTAGATTTGAACGGACTCTAAAATAATCTTTTAAAATCTTAATTGAATGCCACATTACTTTTTTATAATTATTTAAAAATCTAATTGAATGTCAATGGATTTTATTGTTCAAAAATAATCCTTTAAAATTCTTTAAAATCTCAATCCAATATATCACTTTAAATCAAAAATGTCGGATAATTAATAAATCAGTAAATATATTTTAAAAAAAATATTTGTATACTTCCAAAATATTCGGGGGATATCGGATGTCATATCATCAAATCTAAGGGGTACCTGAAATTTTGATCCTCCCCTTAAAAATGGCTTTATAGTTTACACTTGATTTTGTATATTTTTCTTTTACATCCTCTAACTTTTTATAGAAAAGAATTCCCACCACAAAAGAAAAGTCTAATAGAATGGTATAAAAGCTAAGTAAAGGAATAAAATAATGTTTTGTATACATTAACATCAAGTAAATCATCTTATTTTTGTATAGAATGACAAAATTGAAGCATACATATAAAAAAATAACTAAAATCAGTTAATAAAAATGATATGGTAGCTATAATTATATAAAGGGGTGTTCGTGTGAACATCAGAAGAAGTAATGTTTTTTGGTTTATCTTTTGGTTAAAGCATGCCATTTCTGACAATGCATAGCTATCAAAGCGTCCATCAAACTTAAAAGTATTCACTGTCAGTTTACCAATGGTTGACCATTTGCAAAGACGTAAAACATTTTTCCTCTTCGAGGTTTATTCAATACTTTTTTAAAGGGGGTAGGGTATGGCGGTTATATAATACTTTTACGGGTTATATTTATCTTAGTAAACATAAGATAAATTAAATTTCTACACAAATAATAAATATGGATTTCATTTTTATTTTTTTTCTTCAATTATTTATGAATCTTTTTTGTAATTTAATTTCACTAACATATAAATATCTATCTCCAATAATATAAGAAAAATATTTCTCTACTTTTAAATCTATATAAGTCTTAAAAAATTGAAAACATATTTAAGTTTTCTTAAATTAATAATACTCCTATAATCATTTTTTTATTTGCAAGTTAAATAAATAATTATATATAATAGGAAAAAAAAACTGCCGATAATAAATTCTATTATTGTTAATATGTTGTTAGTATATCAAGTTTCAAAATGATTATTAAAGCAATTACCTTAAAAATATATATCTTTACGGTATAATTAATAAAATAATATTTATATCATTGTCTTTATGAAAGAAATAAGATTTTTTTGTTGATTTGTTTTCATCGTCAAGTGGCAGACTGGCAGGTATATTAGATTATATATGTTCCCTGTATACATCATCTGCATTATTGGCTTATTCTCATTTGGCGTTTTGCTCGCATGTGTATGGCCTGAATCAGCGCTCAAGATCCAGCCAAGTTAAAAATATTACTTTATATTGCTATATATTTCTATTCTTCTTGGAATTATTTGGAACGCATGAAAAATAAGGTCTAATAATATAAGATATCATGATATAAGTTCTTATTTAAATTTTATATTATGCGGTATATTCTGCAAGATCATACTATTATTATATATTTGGCAATTTATGGACAGGATGAAAATTGACACTTATTTTACAAAAAAAAACATTGTTTACTTAAAAATATATTATATTCATCTAATTTTATTTTATTTTATGCTGATTTAAAAAAAAATAAAAGTCCCAAAAGATTTAAAAAAAATCTCAAAACTACTGCGTGCATTCAATTCAAAATAATAGTAATAATAATTTGCACACAAAAATTAACAAAATTCTATTAAGAATCTAAATCTAACAGCTAATTAATGAGAAGTTTTATACAATTCTTGTTTGATAAAATAAATATATATGTATTCCTCTGAACGTCTCTCAATTGGATTTTAACAAAAAGCATAAGAATAATATTACCAAAAAAAAAAAAAAACATAACTGATCGAGTACATCAAACTGTATACGTACGTATATCATTTTATAATTATAAATTTTTTCATGTGATTACTGTTAAGTCCCAATAAAACTTTTTTTATATCTTTACCCTAATTATATCTCCTTGTGAGACGATTTTGTGCAGCAAAAATGAGCAAGAAACAATATTCATATAGCATAATGTTTGAACTTCACGTAAGAGATGTTCTATTGAAACTCAAATATCAAAAGAAAAATGAAAAATAAAGTTTAATATCTCTTATGTTGTAAGAAATAATTTTATATCTTACACACACATAAAAAGACATGAAACCCATATTTTTTTTTATTTCTTTTCTTTTTATATGGCCTCACATGGGTCTCACACACTTTTATATATATATATGTAGAAAATAATTTTATTTCCAAACATAAAAAAAAAAAAAATAATAAAAAAGGATTTGTTTTACCTCTCATAGTTAATGAAAGGTAAACATGAGCTTTGAATTGTGAATTCAATTTATTACTTTGATAACAATACAACATTACAGCAGCATAATTCAACTATGATATTACAAAAGAGATGTAAAGCATGCATATAATCGTTGAAATTAAATATTCCTAATTAAAATTATTGGATGGTACCATTCTCTTTCACTTCTTCCTTAGATTTTCCATTCTCTTTCACCTCTTCCTTAGATTTTCCATTAGCTTTCACCTCTTCCTCTTCACCCATCTGTTCTTTTTCTTTCTCAGCCTTCAACTGTGCTTCTTCATCCTCAGCCTTTTTCTTTGCTTCCTCTTTGGCCTTTTCAAGAGAATCAATCAGATTCTTCAAGCAAATCTCTGAATCTTCAATAATTGACTTAGGCATCAGATTCTCAGCAACATCAGCAGGTGTCATGTTGGTCTCACCCAACAACTTCTCAATAGTTGGAAACAAACTGTGTGATTCAACATCCAAGTAGTTATTGGCTAGCACCTTGAAAGCTTCATAGCAACAATAGGACAATTCAATGTGCTTGTCCATCCTTCCTCTCCTAATGAGAGCAGGATCAAGTTTCTCCACAAAGTTGGTTGTGAAAATTATGATCCTTTCTCCTCCACAAGCTGACCAAATCCCATCAATAAAGTTCAATAACCCAGATAGAGTTACCTTACTTCCCTTATTCTCTTCTTCTTCATCTTTTTTAGTAGGATTTTTTGGGACCTCACCATCTTCCTCATCTTTTTCCTTTTTCTTCTTCCTTTGACCAGTAAGATCAAGAGAGCAATCAATGTCTTCAATCACAATAATTGATTTACTTGATGTTTCAATCAACAGCTTTCTTAGATCAGTGTTTTCCTTCACTGCTGTTAATTCAAGATCATACACATCATAGTTCATGAAATTAGCCATAGCAGCTATCATAGTAGACTTACCAGTCCCTGGTGGACCATACAACAGATAACCACGTTTCCAAGCCTTCCCAATCTTAGCATAGTAATCTTTTCCATTTCTGAACTTAACAAGATCATTTATAATCTCTTCCTTCTTCTTTGGATCCATAGCAAGTGTTTCAAACCTTGCAGGGTGCTCAAATGTTATGTGGCTCCACTTTGTACTCTTGTATCCATACCAATTATTGCTTGGATTGTTGGTGTAAAGCTTCAATTGCCTGTTCTTCAACGCAATATTCTTCCCTTCTTCCAACACATGTTGGATATAGGACCCTGTAATGATGTCACGGTAGCTTTTGTGGAAGGTGAGAGTTAAGTACCTTTTAACATCTGAAGTAGGGTACCATGAAATTGACTGTGTTCTTGGTGTGGTGGAGTTTGCAGTCCACCAAACTTTGACCCCTTGAAACTCATCATTGATCTCTTCATTGTCATCCATGCTAAGCACAAGCGGGGTTTGGCTATCCTTGACCACTTCAGCTTTGAGCTTTTTGGCACTTTGAGAAGAGTTTGCACTGAGGTATGTTTGGATGGCAGAATATGCTTCACTTCTCTTGAGGCGTTCACCCGAGAACTCAGGGAATTTGATTTTGATGTAAGGGTAGATAAGGCCAGTGAATTTCTGAGTGTATTTTGATACATAGATTCGAAGATGAGATGGGAAGAATTTCTCAAACATGGCATAGACAAACATGATGCTAGCCATAATTGAGCCTAGTTGTGACCATATTTGCCCAATCCCCATCATCCCTTGCACTCTATAGTACTATTTTCTAATAAATTTTTGGGGTTATTATTCTCTCTTTTTTTTTGTGTGTTTAACCCCACTCAAGTGATGTAGTATTTATAAGAAGTATAATGGAGTGTTTTAGTCTTCTTTTCTTACCCTACACGCAAGATTAGTAAGAATATAATTGTATGAACTTGCAAGTACCAATTAAAGGTGTTCGTGGTCCGAATTGGATCGATTTTTACGCAAAAATCATTGAATCCAATATTTTTGGTTTAATCATTTAATCATCCATTTAATTTAAATTTTTTTAAAAATTCGATTCAATTTTATTCGATTTGGATTGGATTGGTTTTTGATTTTACGAAAAAACCCTAAAATTTTAGCCATACAAATCACTACATACAGGGGTGTTAACGAATCAAGCCGAGTCGAGTTTTGGTCTTAAAAGGCTAAACCTGTTTTTAAATATTTCAGTCTGTTCTAGCCTAGCCTGCTTCTTGCTACCTGTTATGAATATAAATATCGGCATGTGGCTTGATTTATTTACAAAAAATAAAAGCTGGTTTAGCCTGTTAAAAAAAATAAGATAACAAAAATTTATCCAAACAAAATATACGATGAACAACACTAATAATTCCACATATATTCATAAATTTAATGTATATCCAGATAACATAATATTGAACAACATCATTCAAAATGTCTGTTTAACCAATAAAACAGGATGAAATGAGTTGAAAAGAGAAACGGGGCTATTATGAGTTGTATAAAAAATATATAATAAAAAAAAAGTTATATACTAGGCCAATATGTGAGGCTCTAAAGCCGAGTTTTTTTATTAAACGAGCTTTTATACAAATCAAGTCTTCACGAGCCAGGACAAAGGCTTCCGATTCGTTTACTACCCTTAACTACATATATCAAAATAAAGTCATACAAAATTATAATCTATTGGAAAATTCAAGACTTTAAACTAAAGTCTTAAAACTCGTGAAGAGTTAAAATAAATTAATTGACAATAAAAAAACTAAAACAAAATAGTTTGTTATCAGTAACATACAAGATTCCAAGTCTACAAAACAACAAATTCCAAATAACCTTCTTCCAAAACTAATAAATACATAATACATAGTTTGGACTGGATCGATTTTCACTAATCAAATCGAAAATCAATATAATCTAATTAAATTATGCGATTTTTCATCAGTTTTCATTTTTTAATTTTCGATTAATTTGATTATTGGTTTTTCAGTTCACTCAGTATAGTTTAGATCTGTTGACGAACAATCACCGTTTGTTTTCGTGAGAGTTTCCTATTGACGACATTTTACTCGTCTTCTTTACTTCGTATATTTTGGAGATTGCATTCAGCTGTCATTACTGACTATTCAAATGCTTTAAGGACCGTCAGATTTTCATATACGATTCATTATTTGTACTGTACCATTTTGGCAGCACCTTTGCCAAGAAAAGTTTTCCATTTATATATGGGAAATGTTTTTTTTTATATAGGTGAAGATAAGTTATTTTATAGGGTTTTATTTTTCTGATGTTGCATAGACAAATTGTCTCATGCAATACAAAAAAAAAATGAATAGGACCCATTTTTTTTTTGTTTCTTCTCCCTCTTTTTAGTGGATTCTACCCACTTTTTTGTGTGTTGCATAAGATAATTTGTCTCAGGTAACATGAGAAAAATAAAACTACTTTTATTATGTGTGTATAAAATTTAATTTATCTTTTATTGAATGAGATAAATATAATCATTTATATATTGAGATTTATAATTCTCTTCCTAACTGCAGAAGTTTAAATCTTTCGAGCAGACACAGTTTGGGTGGGTCTCACACATATAAAAAAATAAAATAAAAATAAAAGCTCAAAGATCGAAGCCTCAGTGAGAATGAATTTTCTTCTATAGTTGAAGTAGAAGTATAACTCCCTTATATATTTCACTCGGATTGACTTCTATTCAACTATAAAAACAAGCAAACGTATATAGTCCAAAAAACAAAGGTTAAGTTTCCTCCTTTCTTCTTTTATATTACATTTCCTTAGTGGCCGGCAGCGAAATTTGTAAATGCACTCCTTGTATTTTTAATAATTTAAAGTTGACATAGAAGAAAAATGAAAATGACTATTTTTTTTTTAATATTTTGGAGTTATCCAACCCTAATTACTTCTTTGAGGCGAGTTAGCTCCCTCCGGTATCCCCAGAAGCTTCGACTCTTTGAGCCGGCTATGAGACTAATCTGGAGTGCGGGGGTCAATGCGGGGTCAAATGAAGATGACTTTTACTATTAATAAGAAGAGGAAAATATTTATCCTTTTAAAGAACAGCCATTTTAGATAAAATTATTATTATTTATTTAATATTTAAATTAAAAAAATATTCCACTTTCTTCTATCATGATTTTTGTTTCTCTCACTATAAAATACATTAGTTTTAACTAAAATAACTTAATTTTATACCCTTTACAAAGACAAATACTAATTCCTAATAATCATGGATGATGCGGGATTGAAAAATACGTTCCTTGCAACTATTATATAATAAAGGTTAATTGATTTTTAATTATAAAGAAAAAGAGAGTTAACCATGTTTGAATGCCCCTCTACAAAGATCATTTTTATATTCAAATTAGGCATACTATAAGTATAACTCTTGGCAGTTCTTTTATAAACAAATTAGTGAATTATCCGTGCGATACGAGGGAAAAAGAACGAAATCATTGTCGCCGTCGTTGGTTAATCATCACACCGATAAATCAACATCTTCATCTTGTTATCAAGCTCTGAACGGTACTATGGTGGAGGTATAAATATGAAGAAACAAAAAATAAAAAAACAAACATGTTACTTGAGAATTATGTGAAATAAAAAAGAATTATCTTGCTATTTTGTGCTATTTTTGAACTTTAAAAGATTACAACATTCACACAGAACTTGTAACCACAAACAAATCTGCAACTCAGAGGCATTGATTGTTATGCAAAACAAATATAGTTATGTACTTAATAATTCATTCTTCAAATATAACCACCAATGAACCTTCTCCTTTGCATTATTATTCAATATGATCTCGTCTTATTGTTCAACAGTACACAAAATTTGCTACAAAATGAAATCAATTAATATACATGAAGAAAAAAAATTAAATGTTGTGCTGATTGTTTATTTTGTTTCGATGCACTTTTATTTATCACAATATGATTATTTTATTTAGATGTTTGTTTCTGAAATATTTACAGCAGTAAATCTAATTATCTTAACCATACAAAGACGGGTTTGTTAGACAATAGATATAAGGGGGGAAAACATGTTCGCGGGCGGAGTGGGTCGGCCTTCCGGACCGAGCTCATTTTGCCACCTCTAACTATCATCATTTTCTGTCAACATATAATAGGTTTTTGTATTTATCCACACACAAAAAAGGTTCTTATACTTACGTCTAGATTACTATGTATCTATTTTTTGTAGTTGTACCATATATATTAGATGAAGAGTTCAAAAATATTTGAGTTAATACGTTTAATTTTATAACAAATATTTTATAGATGAAGTTAAATGTGGTAATATCAAAAGACCATTCATTTGCTTAATTGCATAAGTATAAATAAATATTCACAAAATTAATATATATATATATATATATATATAAACATATATTTAATGCATCATATTTAATATGAATAGGATTAGTTTAGATGCTTGTTTCTGAAATATTTACAGCAATAAATCCGATGATCAGCTACAAAAAGACAAATTTGTTAGATAGTAAATATAAAAAAAATATGTTGGCGAGCGAACTCTACTATTTGGCAGGCAGGGTGGGCCGGCCCTCTAGGTCCCATTTTACTTCCTCTAATTATCAACATTTTATATCAACATATAATAGTTTTTTATATTTAAAAATAATAAGTTATGCATGATTTATATTTTAAAGTCACATATAATTTTAAAAAAATTAAATATAACTATAAGTGTAATTTTACTTTGATTTTAAGTATATATATGCAATTAATTTGTTTTACTTTCCAAAGAATTGGCTGGTATTACTCCACAATTCGATATTATGACTAATTTTGTTGATTGTAATGTGTAATAATAACATCGGTTTTAAAAAAAACTTCTTCCATTTGTTTTGGACAAAAATTAAAATAATCATTAAATATATTTAATTTTTAAAAAACATCAATAGTTCAATACTGTGTTTTATTCACTAATATTCTTTTATTATACTTAATTAAAATATTAAAGAAGTTAGAAATAATAAATGATCAATTATTTATATTTTAAAGTCACATATAATTTAAAAATAAATATAATTATAACTTTAAAACAAAATAAATATTTTTTTCCTTTTGTTTTCTTAATTATTTTAAACAATTTATTTGGACGTTCATAAATAGTATTATAAATTATTAAATGTATATATATATATATATATATATATATATATATATATATATTAACGTAACATTTAATCAATAGTACATCAGAAATTTATTTCTTTTATACCTAGGTTTATTAAATTTTAATTTTAGCATCTTAATTTTTTATTATAAATTAGCTATTTTACATGTGTAATCATTTATTTGTTTTATACTCTGTTTTATCAAATTCCAATTTTCGACAATTTCAATTTTTGCTTTATACTCTTTTTCCATCTATCAAGTTCAAAATTCAAATTTAAATTTTTTAATTTTAAATATTAAATATTTTCCCACCGAATAGACGTAATAATAAATATTATTAATAAGCTTAACAATTTACCATGCAGAAAGTAGTAGAATCATTAAAATAACCTGTAAAATACTTAATGAAAAACACTTTTTTATGATGCAGGAATTGGATGGTCACTGATCACTGAATGATCATTCATTTTAATTGATTTATTATTAATAATAAATAATTATTTGTTGCAAAAAATTGTTGCTTTTTTCAATAATCTAAATTATTTATATTTCTTAAAATCAAATATTATTCGTTTTTCGAAACGATTAGAAGTTATTTTTTAAAATTTTTAGAAAATATTAAAGCTATATTATTTGGATTTTAGAATTTATGAAAAAATTATTTAATTATTATAAGTTCTCTAAACATAATTTTTAATTAAAAATACATTTTT